TATTATTATTATAACATTTATTATAATAATAACAACATTTACTATTATTTTATTCTTCATATGAAGTTTAATTTTTGGAAATTCATTGAACAAAGATTGCCATATCTATATTCTCTAGAAAAGCTATTATTTCAAAGAATGATTGACTGGATGAAAACAAGACCAAGTATGCTATTTCACAGTACACTGTAACTCTTCCTCAAAAACAAACTTGAAGTTATTAAATTCTTATAACTACTTTTGTAGCTCTTTTTGTATTAGCGTTAATGTCAATCTCAGTAGAAAATGAAACATGCTTATTCATATTGCAACAGATTGAATTTGCGACATCCGCAGGTTAAGCTGCTCAGTTTTATTTTTGCGACTGAACTCCATGGTTGTGTCGACCATCCTGATGAAGCAAATTCCTGCCAAAGTACAGTGTGTTAAAGGTTAAGCAAGGTTGCCAGCAGTGAATTAAGGCAGGCTGAGACTTTACTGTCATCCTGATCTAACGTTTAAGAAAATAACAAGTTGTCTTCGAATCTAGAGACTGACATTTTGACCTACTGCTAGTCAATTATAACGCAAATATGAAAAGCAAATAAAATGCATTAGGGTTTATAATCAAGATGAGATAATGAAGATAATTGCGTGTGGTCATAAGATGTGCCACTGAGTTTCATCCGCTTTTAAAATTCGCAGTGCATCACAAATGATTGAACTCAAGCGTAGCTTTCTACATGGAATAGAAATACATAAAGAAATTTACAACATAAATTACAGCACCTAAGAGTATTGGGCATCTTCCCAAACTGCAATATTTGTCCTGCATCCAATAGGTGTCAGAAAAAGTGAAATTAATTTTATACACGAATACTGAAACAAATAATGTTTATGCAAGCTATTTTATACGAGCAATGGGAAATAAATTCCAAATCTATACAAATTTATATTTAATATAAAACAATATTAGGGTACTAATAGATTTTACCTGTCAATTGGTTTTAAGAGTAATCACCGTTAAGAAGTTGATGGTTATGAAAGGAATTAAGAGGAATATAAAATTTTCTGAAGAATATCCCCAAAGAGGTGGGATCTATTGTGATGAAAGCTTACTACCTGTGCTTTTCAGACATGGTTTCTTATTGAAGACAATTCAGCGGTCAGATGCAATCAAAATATCTCACATTTTCCGAAGAGAACCTAATAAGTCAACCAAACACAAAATATGAAATGAAATAAATTTAAATGTGTTTTAGTAATCAATCATTTAGATAAGGTAATGTTTAGAAAAATATGTGCATCAGTTGAAAATATTATCTTTACTGAATGCATTCCCAAGAAAATAATATTTTTAAATATTGGGAGTTGAGAAGAATGCATTCACTTCCAGGAGCACTGTTTTCAGGAGCATCTTCCATTCACTTATAAACAAATGGAACATTTAAAAAATAAATAATAGGAGCATTTCACATGAATTTTTTTCTGAACGTACAGTGACGTGAACAGTCCTCAAAATACGTTTTTCTTAAAAATAAATAAATAAATAAATAAATAAATAAAATAATAATAATGATACTAATAATAAAATAATAATAATAATAATAATAATAATAATAATAATAATAATAATAATAATAATAATAATATTTTCTATTTTTGTGAAAAATGTTTCAGTGATAGATGTCGACATGAACAACTATAAGAGTATCAATTAAAAAAAGAAAAATATTTTGCTTGCCCATCGAGTGAATCTTTATGTCTAAGTATTGGCCTCAGGTCAGAGCGTTTCCAAAGAAAATGCTGTAGGTTTAAAATATTGGAGGAGCGTTTCAAGTAAAAATGCAATTTTTAACTTAACTATTTATAACCAAAATTAAATCGCTTACCTTTTATGAAGTTTAATCCTTTGTTGCATTGTAAGGTGTTTGTAAGTTAGACTTTGAGATCCTTCAAGTTAATTTTTTTGTAATTATTTTATTTTCGTATTAAGGGACGTAATTATGTGTTTATGCCATAAGTCATTTCCGATCTTGTGTGTATGGTGGCGTAACATCGTTAGAGAAAATGTTCGGAATAATTGGCGCCGAGTCGACTTGAATGTGCAGGGATGTTGGAACGGGGCTGCAACCCGCTGCACACCTGTGCTAATCACGCGGAAGGGGCAGCCTGAATTATCTGCGTTCAGCACGCTCATGTGCGGTAAGAAAAAAGAAAAAAGAAAAAAAGAAAAAAAAATGATCGAAAATAATGAAATTTGTCTTAACAATTAAAGGTGATTGTTAACGGATAATTCTATAATTTCATTTGATAATATTTATTTACCCGGGCGAAACAGTAAAAAGTTCTTGAACTGCGAGTGATAGGCGTCATGGAGAATAGGGGAGCCAAAGTGGTGAAGAAGCAAGAGCGAGGAACATAACTGTTGGGTTAATTTGTATATTTTTATTTGGTTAAACACTTACCTCTAGCAACTGAACGTTTTCAATCTCGGAGGTGAAAAATGTTATTGTAGAGGTAAATGGTAAATACAGTAGGTTCTTGTTTGAAATTTAATTGACAGGACCGGACCTCGTCCTTAAAAAAACTAAAGTCCACATCATCCAAACACGCAATTTATTTGTGAGAGAATACTTGTTTGCTTCTTTAATGTGGAGGCAAATTCTACAAGTGGAGGCAAATTAAAAATAGAATAGAAAAATAGAATAGTCTCCCTCAGAATATATGTTGGAGCCATATATGGTATGTAGAGGGGTGAAAAATTATTACATTTATCAATGAAAACGGTGAAAAATTTCATTTAACTAAGTTGAATACGTGACTATAGTAGGAGGTGTTTCTTTAAAAAAAATTAGACAAACAAAACAATACTTTCCATAGAAAGGAAACCTTTACTTAACTTCTCTTATTAAAGTGAACAATGGCATACATGTTTCGTAATCCGATTGATTACATTTTCAAGTAGTGGTACATCGTCAGTTAATCATCCACATTGCACGAAAAACAGAAACTATCAATACAGGGCATGTAAAATATTAAAATTAGTGAACAATAAAATGAACAAAAATAATGAAAATCAGTGCAAATTTATCAGTGCAACCTTAGATAATCACCTTAGATTTTAAATCATTCATTTAAAATCAGTCCACATATATTGTGTACTAATTAAACGCGTGGAGTTAAACCAAAGCATAGATACTGAAAGATCTAGACAAAAAGGTGTCAGAAAACTATTTCTAAAAGCATCAAATCCGTCCAATTGCTCCAGTATGGAAACATGGTGACTCCTTGTATGGAAACACTTGTTTTGATTGACAAATAAATGATACATCATACAATAATTCCACAGTGGACTAAGAATTGTGGAAAAAAACAACCACACACATCGCACATGTGTCACTTGACAGGTTTTATACACGTATCTTTTGCCCCTGACTGGTAGGCAACTCTCACGTACTAGTGTTCGGCAGCTCACATTCTGCATTCTGACGCAGTTAAGGGAATTTCGCGTACCTGCCGAACATTAGTGCTTTAGAAGTTGCCTAACAATCAGGGGCAAATGATATTTGTGTCACTAAGTTATATGAAATTTACCACCACATGTTCATTGACAAGAAGTGATCATCATTGTCTTTCCCCACATGCCCTAAACATTTACAACATTTATTTTGAAATAATCCGTGTGGATTGTTGGCACTCCGCTGGTTCTTGCATTTTTCATTTAAGTTTCTTTTGCCCGTTTTGAATTATTGAGCAGAAGGCGTTGAATTAAGAAAATAATTGTCATATTGTTCATAATATCTTTCTCTAAGAACGAATGCTTTTTGTTGAGACAATATTCATTATAATAATGTATTTATTCGAAAGATTATTTTAAAAGTGGTTTCAAATAACTGTACATTTGCTCAACATTGGGAGTAGCGGGATAAGCGCATTTTATTGTTTCTCTCGTACATTGGCTTATATAGTTTTGACTTGGCAAAACGCACGCTTTTTATTTGTAAAGCATGTAATATGTAAATATCTCTTCTATTACACAAGACCGGAATTGGTCCTATTATTTTGTAAAGTAGTGGAGCGAGAAAAGTACTCTTTATTTTACACACAGGATTATCGCATATTATGTTTCAAAGTTAAAAAATGACCAATCAGCAATGTTTCGGTGAGTATTGTCTTGCTTCCATACATTTTAATTTCACAAAATTTAATATAATATTTTATTCACTTTAATTGTTTTTATGAGGAAATAATCATTGACCAATTTGCTTATAAACTTTGATTTCCTATATGATGTATATATAGCAAAAATATATAAGTTACATAAATGTTTACATTTAAGTGTACTTGATCACAAAATAAAGGCAGAAAGATCATAAATCGGTTTTCTGTTCACTGAATTTCATGAAAGTTTCGCCCTAAAAACTTTGAATCACATTTCAGGTAAAATTGATATTCTTCCTATATCGCAATTCATGAAGTTTTAAGGTTTTTATTTATTTATTTATTTATTTATTTATTTTTTATTTATTTATTATTTATTTATTTATTTATTTATTTATTTATTTATTTATTATTTATTTTTATTTTTTATTTTATTTATTTATTATTTAATTTATTTATTAATTTTATTTAATTTATTTATTTATTTATTTATTTTTTATTATTTATTTATTGTATTTATTTATTTATTAATTTATTTATTATTTATTTTTATTTATTTATTTATTTATTTATTTATTTATTTATTTATTTATTTGTAAAACGTTTTCATTAACTATATTTTGACTTGAGGACAAGGGATATTTTTTCAAGCTTTATTAAAATAATTATATATTCATTAAAATAATATATTTTTATTATTACATTATTATTATTATTATTATTATTAATTCGGAAGAGACAAACTCGAAGAACTGCCTCAGCAATGCACCTACCCCGCACACCCTGGCCTGTTGCTTATAGTTCCCGCTGCCGTCGCTGCTGCGCGAGCGCTGCGATCGTAGGGGCAGTGATGGATCTGATAGAGCCGCTCGGAGCGAGCTCTTCGCTCTCGGGGACGCTCGGGGATGCGCGAAGATATCTTGCTAGTGATGGTCAGCTGTGACGGGAAGGACTGCGGAAATGCGCCTTAGGCATGTAACTCTGATTTTCAGGGATACCCTACGGCACCACAATGTTCGTGTACGGTTCCGAAATAACGTAGACATGTAATATGTGCGCGCGAAGACTAATTTCACGGTGAAAATCTGGCGTGAACGGTGCCGCGGCGGGTCGGGGATCATGGCGTCGGTCTCCGGCGAGGCCCCAGCCAGCCATGGGCACACATTCAGCAAGAAAACGTTTCACAAGCCCACCTACTGTCACCACTGCACCGATATGCTATGGGGGCTCATACAGCAGGGGTACATCTGCGAAGGTAAGCATAACGCGGAAATGCAAGTGGTGCGGTGAAGTGCTGAGTCGGTCAGCAGAATGCCGGGCGGCTGTTGTTCTAGCCCCCCTCTCCACCCCTTCGCTTTCATTTCTCTGTGTGAGACCCAGCAGATTGTCAAATTTGGAGAAACTGTTGCTTTGACGTTCGTTTCTCTTTCCGTATCTCTGGGTTCGCCGGTGTTGATACTGAATGGCGGAAATATACCATTGCAAATTCGTAAAAAGGCTTAGCAGGAGGCGTTGATACAGTTTCGGATGATCTGTCATTTTCATTCTAAACAAAATGGGTAAAGAATTCAAATATTGAAATGTTTTTATTTTCATTTCGTTGATCTTGCCCACTTCTAATATTTAATTTGTATCACAGACTCATGCAAACTAGTAAAAAGGTTGTTACAAATTACTAACGCAAATAATAGTTATATTCATACTTTTCAGGACTCATGATGTGTTTTTATTCCTATTAATTAGTTAAATCCATTACTAAAGTACTTAAACGCGAATAATAACAATCTTACGTATTCGGTCATAATTGTTGGTTAAATGCTGGTGTTTTCATGACTTTAGGAAGAGTGTAATTGAAATATTAAATATATTTTAAATAAAACCATGTGGATATAATAATAACGTTCTATCTTTTTTTTGAGTTACAATAATACAAGAGATTTGGTTTTACTAGAGAGGGTCCAATTCACGACTTTATTAGAAACGTAGTGGATACTTGTAAAGCGAATTTGCTCAAATATACCATTGAATAAAGTTATAGATTTGGAGGGACACTTGGTGTCCAGAGTCCTAATTTGCTTTATAGCAAAGTTGCGTCTGCCATTTCTGTCTGAAGTGAATGACAGAATTGTGTGAAATTCGTGTGAATTTTTCATTTTCAATTTTCGGCGGATAATGCGGCAAGAAATCGAGGTGAACAGAATGAGTGAAACTGTGACAAAATACTTTCGTGTGCGACACCTCCGGTTCCTCAGGTCAGGAACACCCGTGTGCAATGCTCTCTTGCGATGCAGTATATACCCGGCTGTGTCAAGCGGCAGAACGAGACGCCGCAGGCAAGACTCTATGGAGCAAATGCTAGGAGACACATTGAAAGAAAAAAAAGAAGAAAAACGTCCCACTGATGGCCGCCGACCGGGCTGAAGCCGTGAATTTTACATCTTGTGCGGAAACCGACGGGCGACAGTGGAGCCGGGGGAAGAGTCGCTGTTGCGCGACTGCGCCGCCCCCTCCGCGCCTCTGAGCACCCCGTGCTGCCTCCGGTCTCGCTTCGGCCCGCCCCACCCTGCTCCTCCCCGCTCCATTCCGGCCCACTCCGCTCTGGCTTGCTCCGCTCCGCCTCGCTCCTCGCTGCACCGATATGCCTTGCCCTGAATGTTCCTACTTCCTCTCGTTTCTTCTCGTTTCGCTTCCTACCTTCCCTCGCCACATCATGCTGCCCGCACTGCCCCACGTTGCGCCACGCCGCCTCACACCGCCCCGCGCGCTCCCCGCACTCCTCGCCCCCTCACGCCGCCCCAAGCCACCCCATGCAGCCCCACGCCACCCCGCGCCGCTCCACCGTCGCCGGCCGGCCGACCGGGGCGAGCTTCGATCCCGACGGCCGGGCGGCCCAAACCCGCCCTGGCGGCGCGGTGCGGGGAGGGGGCAGCGCGGCGCGAGGCGACGGCGGGAGCAGAGCGGAGGCGGGGGCAGGCATGGGGGCGGGGCGCGGAACGGCATCGCTCGAAGCAGCGCCTGCTACGCCGCACCACACCGCACCGCGCCGCGCCGCCGTCACCGTTGCCGCCGCCGCCGCCGCTACCGCCGGCGCTCCAGCTACCTCCAGCACCCGTACACGCCCGCCAGCACGCTCGCTCTCTCGCTTGCTGGCTGGCTCGCCTGGCGGCGGGAGCGGAGCGGGGACGAGCGCGGGAACGAGCGAGGGACGGGGGCGTGGCGGGACCCGCCCGACTTGCCTCCTGGAACGCTGCCGCCCTCCTGGCAGGCGCACCGGTGTAACGCACCGCTCGCCCGGGACTCTGGCGCAGCCGCGGACAGGCCGCGGACGCGAATGCTGTGCCAAACCGAGATATAACCGAGCAGGCGTCTCTGGAAAGATCGTGCCGTGGCATCGACGCCGTGGAAAAGCAATGTAGAACAAACATATCGATTGCGTTGGATTCAGGTGTCTTTCTGCGGTGCGGTATGGCAGGTTGATGCGCCGTGGACGCAATGTGTTGGAAATAAATACTCTGTGGAACGTTGCCCATGAAACAGCTTTGCATTTGTGATAATGATTTATGGGGCGACTCGTGGTGTAGTGGTCAGATCGCTCACTTTCCGCCTCTGAGAACCGGGCTTCAAATCTCGGTCGATCCATGTAGTTTGTGGCTAATTCGCGGTGCGGTGAATTTTCGCGGGATTATCTTGATTACCCTACTTATCCTTCACATTTGCTCCACCGTCATATAAATCGTATAATTTACTTTATTCATCCCCCACGCATCATACAATTAATCTCTGGTGTTGCTGAAAAGATGTAGCAACTGAAAATCATATTGAAAATAATAATTGCGATTTATTACAAAATGCTTGTAAAGAATTTCGTGAAATAATGTCACTTACCTCTAAAGAGTGTAATAAATTACTATTTTTATTTTGATAATTCTATATGCCTCAAGCAGCTTCAGATAATTAATGTAAGGAGACTAAAATTTAAATCACCCCACCAATGCAAAACGTAAACCAATTCTTAAAAATAGAGGGCAGAATAGAATTTGACATTATTCTTTCCCATATTCCCTTATAATGTCATTGCTTTCAGTAATTTAAAAATGTAAATAAGATGAACGTATTTCGAATATCAAGACAGTTTTCTGTATTGCAACATTAAATTTCAACGTATTATGTTACCTCCTTGTGCTTTCTGAAATGTATTTTCTGATATCTCACTAAAAAGAAACTAATTCACACAAATATTTGTAAATAATCACTTGATGGATACGAATCCACAGTTTCTTCGAATCTTAAACTTTCGTTTGTATTAAGACTAGATATTGTAGCGTGATTTTATAATATACGACAATTTTCTAGAGTTCGATTCTTTCAAAGTCATGACCATTAACTAGAAATATTCGTGTATTTAAAACTGATATAAAAATTTTATAACTGAAATGCGTAAAGAGTAGAAGTTTTATTATCAAGGAAATCAATTTATATTACGTTTTTTTCCCCAAAGATCTCCATCCATTATTTTTACGAATATTTTTAAATAATGGAGTAATTTTTTGACTATTTTTAAATAAATGGGTAAAAATTATAACAAAAAATTAAAAATGATTAGTTTATTACCTATTATTTTAAACATTTTTTAGCTTTAATATAAAATCTACAAGAACCACACATTAACACATATTTGACGCAAAGATGGATCGTACATCGCTTTGCTCTTTGACAGTTCCCCAGCCGGGAAGGAATCGGAGCAGGCGACGCGGCAGCTGTCGCGGCTCAGTCCAGGTGCAAGATGGGGGGGGAGGGGGGGGCGCCAACCGCGGGAATCCGTGAGGGCGCGACTGCTCGTCAGATGTTCGTGAGGTATCGGGGGCGACGAAATGGTGGCCGGCGCGTGGTGGCGACGGTTGCTGCGACGGTATTGCTGTTACAACGGCCGGAACAATCTGGAGCGCTATGGAAAGTCATGGGACCGAAACCGCGCAAGCGGGCGTGCGTGCGCACCCAGTGAGCTTGCAGTCGCCCGCAGTTCGTGGGCACTGCCGCCGCTGCCGCCGCCGCCAACACCGGATCTCTCCGTCACCCTGGAGGCAGGGGCGAAAGCGCTAATCGATACGCTGTTTTGTCAATTCCGTTTGGCGGACGCTCCAAGATTTTTCGCGTGCACGCGGCCGCGTGCCGCCAATGCCATTTGACCACGTACGGAGGAATTTCCCTCCACGTCTGCGAGGGATACGTGGCGTGTCTCTCGTTGCTCAATTTGATTCACATCTTTCAACTTTTTTCTGATATACCTTTTCGGTATAACTTGTTGGTTCATCCTATTCCTCTTCCATTTCGAAGTCCTTTTTGTTTTTAGATTAATCATGAAGTCTCAAGTGTCCTAAACATTGTTAATTCTACCATCAAGGCGTGTTACTTTGGCTCTGTGGTATTTTCTGCTGAAATGATAAAATTACTGGATCATGCGTTTTACATTCATATTTCTTAATGGAACCACCGTCGCGTCTGAAGCAATCAACTTGTGGCGTGCATGTTCCATTCATATTTACATTTTAGGTCAATGTATTACTAAAAGGGTCAAAGAATCCCATACCAAAGTGGGTGGTGCATACTTGTATATAAATAAATGAAATGACTTTGAGGAAGGGGTAACAAAACAAATTCTCGATTATTTAACTTAATACACATTGAACACTCTAATCACACATTAATGCAAATTCATGTAATATTTTGAAAATATTTTACGTATATTAATTTCTAGAGAGCGTTTTGAAGTAACATTCTGCAATACACTATCTTGTAGAAGATAATTTACTATGCTGTGAGTTGCTATTGTTTTCTGTAATAAAATAGAGCATGTTTTATTATGTTAGAGCCACACGCGCGAGTGACGATGCACTCGCCCAGATTTCGCGCACGATAGGAAATTAATGTCACTGACTCAGGGAATGGAGGGTGTGTTGTCATGGTGTGAGACGAAGTTCAAATTCATTTTCTTTTGTGCTGTCTCTGTAATTGTAGTAATCTTTTGCTGTGTATTCTTCGGGTATTTCAGATTTGCAGATTTTATCTGAGATAGGACGAACTTAGAACAATTGAATGTCGGTAGAACAAATTCACTACATTTTTTTCAAGTTTCAAAATTCAACAAAGCCAAATATACGCTCGGATGTGAATGAAAAGTGCAAAGCGTGATCACATAGCATTTATTCTTATTTATATCCAAATTTATATCGAAACGCGTGACTCAAAAATATAAAT